TGCTGTCCCATTCTCTGTTCCTGGCGTTGAAATCCCCACATATGAGTAACCTATCACCTGGTAACTCCTCCAGTTCCTTGAGCCAGCTCCATTGTTCACTTCTGACAAAACAGTCTACCGTGGCATATATATTTATGAGGTTCCAACTTAGGCCACCAATTTCCACCTGTATCCCTTGAACCTCTCGTCCACTGTGGTTCCGCTGGCTCAAGTCAAGCACCACATGCTTCACTCCCTCCTTTACCACTAGACCTTGTCCATGCCTTTCCTGTCCAACAGGGTGTATATAACTAACTTGGCACAGGAATAGGGCAGTTATGGGGTGACGCATTTGCTATTAAGTTGTAACTGCAGTTACTTAATTGGACTGTGAAGAGTTGACAGCATCAAACGGATGAGCAGCTAGAACTTTCTGCTTGAGTTAACAGCCAGTTTTTATTTTCATTATCATGATGTGCCATTATTTGTCACTGTAGTAAAAAAAAAGGACTTTTTTCACTCCACTCATGCATCGTGCAGATTATCGTAGCCTCATATTTTAATACATCAATCGGCACGATGGCTGATGTGGTCATCATCGTATCAGTCACCTTTACTTTCCAGGACATTACCCTGTGCTTTCACTAGGAAAAAAAAAACTAATTAGAAATGTGTAATTTTGTTTTAACTTGAAACCCAAATAATTTGAAATACATGTTTTGTTGATACTTTAAAAGCAGTTGCCTTGCCACAGTATTTGTCTTTCTTTGGCAGTCAGAATTACTGAGTAGGAAGCCTGATGTTACTTTTCTGGGGTCTGTTTTTACATCTGAATTCTTGTCAGTAAATCTGGTTTGTGTTTTGATTCAAATATATAGTCTAGAATCGTTACTATAACCCCCCCCCCCCCTTTTTTTTTTTCCAAATGTGGGTTCTGGGGCCCAATTGTGGGGAAAACAAGAATAGACCCACTGCCACCCCAAAAGCATGTCGTAGGAATCGACTAACTGGGGAGCTTCTTTTGAAGTCGGAGTGCATCTGCCTGAGAGACAAGGAACCAGCAGTCTGCATTCAATTTAATCAGAACTGTAAAACTGATGCACATGCAACACTTAGGATCTGGAGCAGGACTGCAGTCCAGAAGTGGACGAACAACCAGAACCTTACGCCAGAGTGTACAGCTGGTGAACGCGAAGAAGAAGCAGAAGTTACTATACCATGAACATTTGTTATTGTAATGACTGCACATTTTTCTTTTTGGTACAGATGCTACTCATGTATCTTAAAATCATCTTCTGTTGCTGAATTGTCTTACTTGAATTATGGCCGGCGAACCTGTGGACTATGGTGGGTAAAGTTTTAATAGTTCAAAATAATTACTCATCATCACTTTGTGCTATTTCCCATAATTTGATCTACAGAACTAAATTATCATTAATATATTTGTATCCACATGTCTGCTCCATCTAATCAGTTTTTTTTTTTAAATTCTGTGCTTGCTCTTAAAGGGGTAGTTGGCACATTCTGTTGTGGTTTACAGCTAGACTGCGCCTTTCGGCCCAGCACATCTAATGTCACTAAACTCCTAATTAGTTGCCTTTTAAGCCATGCTTGATAATGGGCAGCGAGTCTCTTTTCCCCCCACAAAGTGGAGCCCCAGAACCCACAGGAATTTTTTTAGTTTGAATTACTTTTATGTGTCTGAATCTAACTACATTAAATAAACATGTTGATTAAGCTGACTTATTTGCATTTGTGTGTGAATATTGTTAGGATAATATGCAGAATTTATTGCAATTTATTGCATGGCAATTTCACTGTATCTCATCATGGGCATCCTACAGTATTCTACTGCTGCTACTGTAGTATGCACCTGACCAGATGCAGCAAAGTATGCCAGACAGTATATTGTGTTATTGAGACTTTCATAGAATGTGCCTGTGTATTTTTTCTGTGGGTGAAATGTACAGTAGGGAAACATCGGTTTCATTCAGACAGTAGATTGTTTTGATGTAATGATTTCAGGCACGTGAAAGTTTGGGCTTTTGTGTTACATACAGTGAGAATCGCTGTGCTGGTTTTACAGAACTCATTTAAGACCCCTGTCATATAACCTTATGAAACAGACAAATAGCTATCTTGGGCGTAAAATGAACTGGCAGGGAATCTCAGAGTTGGTGGCTTATAGAGATGCAGTGACCAGAAACCAAAGATAGGAATATAAAAACCTATAATACTCATCTGCTCACTTTCTCGTGCAAATGTCTGTAAAAAGAAGGCTCTACCCATTTGGCAAATGGCACATAAAATCCACTAGATATGAAACCTGTTAAATGAAAAATCTATTTAATGTTCATAAAAGAGAATCCTGCTGAATAACAAATAGATTTTGTAATGTCCACAACCATTTGCCTTTGACTCGATGGAGTATCGGGGCCATGAGGGAAAACCTTCCCTCGTGTGTGTTTCTCAGACTGAAAGGAAAAGTCTTGGCTGTCCTCTTTGTGCCACATTTAATATGCCCAAAGCATGTATGACATGAGGTAAAGTGTCTGGGACTAGCTGCTCACAAAGCCATTAGGAAAATCTAATGAGGGGTTAAACCACTCATTTTGTGGAGGTCATCACATTCCTAGGTCTGCTGACTATTGTTAACTGATGAATAGGAAACTCAGTTTATGGATGTCTTCTTATTCACATTTACCGGCTGTAAACTCCGGTAGGAAGTTCTGGTTGTTTGTCCACTTCTTGACTCTGATAATATTCCAGAAATTGTGTTGCGTGCACACCCACTTTAAAGGTCTGACACATTTGCATGCAGACTGTTGGTTTCTTGCCTTTCAGGCAGATGAATTCAGATTTTGAAGAAAGCTTCCACTTAGTCGACTCTTATGACATGACATGTTTTTGGGTAGATAGTATATGGAAGTCTTCTTCTTCTTTGCGTTCACCAGCTGTAGACTCTGGCGGAAAGTACTGGTTGTTCATCCACTTTTGGACTGCACTCCTGTCTAAAACCTGTTGCAAACCTGGTTCCTTGCCTCTCAGGCAGATGCACTCCGACTTCAAAGGAAGCTCCCAGTTAGTCGACTCTTACAACATGCTTTTGGGTAGGCAGTGGGTTTATTCTTGTTTTCCCTATAATAGGGCCCCAGAACCCACACAGGGATATATGGAAATGAGATTAAACAGGATGGGATTATTCCTCTGAGCATATTACAAGAGCATCATAAACTGTGTATGGAATTTAGCTTGAGGGGTGCCAGTTATTGCTCATGTTCTGTCAGGCTCTTCATTTCGGAGAATAATAACTGATGTTTTTTTAATTTAAGTGTGCTTTTTTAATTTCTTGAAGAATTCTTTTAAGTCTGACATTTTAAACAGGGAATTCCCTTGTTTATGGTCCTTTCCCCCATGGTTTCCTTTGCAGGTGTGTGTTTATGTATAATTATCAAGTGCCTTAATGGCTAGCATGGGCAGTCATGCCTCTCAACCTGCAGACTCCAGCAGCATGTATCACTTCATGTGCTGACACCCCTCCATGCTATGACAAAAGACTATCAAGAATTTTCTTGCATTGTCTTGTCTATCTTTCTTTCCATAAATCTTTCCAGTGGTCACAGCAGGTTCCAGTATCCTTTTTTCTCTCATAAAAGTGATTTCGGTCACAGGTATGAGGATAAAGTTGAGATTTTCAGGGGTGTTTAAGAAGATTCTCCTGCCTCACCTCAAGCGCCAGTAGACTGTGCTGGTTTTATGGACCCCGGTGCAAGACTCCTGCCACACGTCTTCATTGTACACCAAAGGCCTAAACTGAGTTGACAGTGGACCTTGGAGCTAGCAAGAGAGACACAGTGTCTATAAACCCACCCCTACTGCCTGGGTGATAACATTCACCAGAACTTTGTTTGGAACTTGAGTGAATCTGTTGCTGAGTATCCTACTAAATGATCAACTTTGCTTCAAATGTTTGTCGAATGAGAGTCCTACTATATGACAGACCTTGGTTCACACATCTTAAACCGCAATGTACTGAATGGCTACTTAGATTCAAATGTTCGTGCATCAGGTGTCCTGCTATATGAAGGCAACGGTTCAGATGTCTTCGCTAAAAGATACCACTAGTATCTGAACTCTTTGCTGGCTGCTGAAGATGGGGATGGAGCGCTTATGGGAATGCCCCGAGTGCTGTAGTGTCTGTTCTTGAATCAATCAATCAATCAATCAACATTTTAAGTCTGCCACCAATGATCACTGTCATTGTTAAAACCATATGGGGAGTTGGAATCCATCTGGAAACTTTTCCTGCCCTGCTGCAAGCCATTCCAGGATAAGAGAAAAGAGAAACAAATTTCTGAAGGTGCTGGGTGTGTCGGCAGAAAGACACAAATATCCCAACTATGCTGTAAACAGGCACAACACATTATATATAACCCGGATGAATGGTGAAAAAATAATATGGCCTCCTTTGCCATCCTTCTGATGTGTGTAATAGGTTGTTGTTAGGCCGCCATGTCTTTCAAATTTTCTGGGTACTCATCATATATACACACACACATTATGTTATGTGTAAGAGAACAGCTTCTGTGTTAATGGAATCATCATACTGATACATTTAAATTCACAAGGATTCAGCGGTGAAGCACCACCTGCAGTGGTGCCCCAGGAGCAGTGCTCATCCTGGTTAGGACCTGTCGGTACCTCTCGGCATCACCCTAGAAATGTATTCCCTACTGGGTGCCAATATGGATAGGATCAGAGCTTTGAAGTCTGAGCACATCTTTAGTTTGCACACACATAGACCAGATTTGTAAAATGGATGTGCACACAACGCATAAATCCTGAAACAAGACAAAGTCCAGACATTGATGAACTGGAGTTCAAAGCCTGTAAACACAGAAGAAGAAGAAGAATGCCACACGACATTGAGACCTATTCTTATGAAAGTGCTATGTTATATGGCTTACAATAACAAGTTATTAATGAGCAACCTGGATGAAATTAGAGCTGATCTTTTTCAGGCATTGAAGCCACAGATCTGGCAAGCTTGTTGTGCAGATTTGAGCAAGGTCTGTAAATGATTCTCTTTTGCTTGTCTGTTCACAGAATATGTGTTTTTACATGTTCTTTTAAGACTCACAAGGAAATTATGATTAGCACAGGATTCTGTGTAGTGCAGTGGCTAGATGCTTGCCTGTATCGAAGGGAATTTTCATAATTGGCTGGGATTCTCATGTTGACACAGCCTAAAAGTGGTACCAGAGAATGTCTTAAGGAGTGGGATATAAAATCAAATGGTGTGATGTTGACCACATCGCTCAGGATACAGAGATACTGAAACACTTGTGATGCACCAAGACCACAGCTCATACTGGTCAAGACCTATCTACACCTCTCTGTGGTCATCCCAACCGAGGGCCTGGCCAGCTTCCTTTGAAGTTGAAGTGCGTCTGCCTGAGAGGCAAGGAGCCAACAGTATGCACAAAAGTAGGCAAGATTTGGAAAATTGATGTATCTAGGAGCAGAAGTGAACAAACAACCAGGACTTTCCGCTGCAGTTTACAGCCTGTGAATATGAAAAAGTGCAGATCACCAATCAAGTGCTAATTGTTATTCAATATGGGGCTGGCATCATGTGCCTGATCGGCCAGGGGCATAGAAGAGTCTTACTATTTTCCAATAATTTCAAATGTGGTTTGCCTGTTTGTTGTCGGGAGCCGTAAGGAAAATAAGGAATAGCAATACTGCACCCTGCTGAGTCTGTTGTTGGCTAAAATAATAGTTAACTGTCTGTCCTTTTCAGGACCTTGCAAACCTCAGCTTTTGTTGGCTTTTTTGGTTTTCCTTGGCAGTTTTCTGTTCAGTAGTTTGCCACCTAAATAATCAATGCTCCATATCCTTGTCAAAACAATCTGCTGCCAAAAATGCCTAGGCTGGAATAGAACTGGGTATTTGAGGGTTACGAAGTGCACTTGTCATGCGTGAGCCACAGATGCTGATATGTTGGCTAGCTCATCAAATAAATAGTTTTATCCTCAACATACAACCATGAACAAGTCTTAAAGCACGTGACAAGGTGGTTGAAGGCATATGGTATTTTGATCGATAAAGAGAAGAAAAAAGGAAGCTACCTAGCAGCTGTAACCCAAGTAAACCTTTCACAGATGTGTGCTAATGCCAAACTGCATACTTAACTTTGAAAAGCCAATGAAGAATGAGAAAATTACCATCTTAGCTTGTTCAAAATGTTTACCAACGGGGAACTTGAGAAGAAATTGTCACAGGCAGCTAAAATACAAACTATGGCAGTAAAATGAACACGTTTTACTGAATATGAAAAATGGTCAGGATATTTTCAGTCGTCGCTGCTTAGCCCTTTCTATCTGTGGCTGTGAGATAATGATGATGAATTAAAATCTCTGCTTTTGGGACAAGACCATGAGCACCTGGTCTCCGCCAGTGATAACTTTCAAGGGTAGGTATGCCAATTGTTGCATATTGGCAAGTAAAAAGTTTAATCTTTTTTTTTTTAAACTTCGTGGTACATCAGAAATGCTAGATGCTAGTCTCATTTTTGCATAGACCAGTTGACGCTCAGTTCGCACTTCAGCATTGTGCTGGCCTCCTTTACTTTCTAGGATATAACCTGATACCCGTTTCTGGGGTGACCTGGGAGAAGTCAGCTTTGAACAAATCTGTCTGGATGGAGAATCAAACTCCAAACTTTTGGGTTGACATGCTATGTTCTGTCACTACACTACCACTGCTCCCATGCTGGCATGTAAGTCAATATTACCACAACAGAAAGAATATAATCTGAAACGACCTACAAACTGGCAATTAAAAGCTCAGGCAGGCATTACAACAAAGTTGAACCCAAAGAGATCCACATCAAAAGACTTCCAGACCATAAACTATGGCTTATGATTAGGAAGTAGATTAACAAGAAGACAAGAATGACTATACCACTGCATCTCCATATTAATCATGGCACAAGGATACATGTCACACTATGACCAAGAAGGTCAGAAGACAAATATTTTGACAACTAATTCATGACATTACTCACCCTGATGATGTGATTATCTACTCTTATGACTCTGTGTTGAGGGACAGGAGTTTATGGAGGCTCATGGCAGAAGCGAACAGACCATGTAGTGTAACTAAGCCTGGCATATGACTAACAAAGTATGTTGAGAAAGGGGGAGTCGAGTAGGCTTCATGCTAAGTGACAAGCATTGCTTAAGAGGTCCCATGTAGTTAGCATCTTTTGGATATTTTTCTCCATGGCAGTATGTATGTAGGGAACTGAACAGGCAGATAGAGATTGGCTCTGCGCCGCTCTGGGAAATTTATGCATAACAAGAAAGATGTTGCGTAGGCCCTTTAGGGGTGTGTGAACAGTGCAGAGCCACAAACAGATCATCATGGTCTGAAGAGAATGGTGCAGAGAGGAATGACCAGGGAATCTGGTTGATGCTCAACACTTAGAGAAAAGGCAAGATGGACATACAGTCAGACTTTTACTGGTACAATCAGAACTTTTTGCTGGCTGCTGAAGCTGGGGTTGGAGCACTTATGGGAAAGGCAAGATAAACCTACAGTCAGACAGTTACTGGTACAATTAGACTTAAAACTTTTTTGCTGGCTGCTGAAGCTGGGGTCATAGCACTTATGAGAATGTATGTCCTGAATGCTGCGATGTCAGTTCTTATCTCATCTTAAGACAAACCTCCAAAAAATATGGGTGCGTTAGTGCAGGAGATTGGGACAGCTAGCCCCCCCCTCTTACAGCATAAGACAATCCCAATCAGCACAAAGAGACATCTTATTCAAAGCATATTTATTCCAACTCTGTGCTACCAGTGCCAGACATGGTCACTCACAACAAACCATAAAAGAAAATTAGTAACCATGGAAATGAGATGTCTGAGAAGGGCTGTAGGAGTGACCATAAGAGATAAGATCAGGAATGAGATCATAAGAGAAAAAGTCGGCACAGAACCAATTCTAAATTACATAAAAGACAGCAAGTGAAATATTTTGCCCACTTAGAGAGAATGCCTTGTGACACCATACCATACATGGAAAGAGAAGGTCGTAGAGCAAGAGGTAGACCAAGAACAAGATGGAAGGATAACATCAGGGAAGCTCTACAACAGCACGATGTGCCTATGGTTGAGGCGGCCAGAAGAGCCAGAAACAACCCTATATCTCCCTCGACACCCACAGCGGTAAAAGAAGAAGAAGAAGTGCAAGAGATTTTGTAGATACCATATTATCTCCTAGTGTTCTCCTTGTACTTTCAAGTGTTGAGAACTATAATCAGGTAGAGTATCTGATTGAGATTCCCAGAAAAATTGTTTGCATGGTTGGCCTCTCTTTATATTTCTACCTGGCCTATATATTCATTTCCTGCAGTTTAAATATAAATTTTCTTTTTTTCAGCGACAAATTCAGACAAAGATGTAAATTATGTAAACAATTGTATACAAGAGAAGAGACAGGTAAAATACAGGTCAGTATCATTACAGCTCTACTTTTTCTCGCCAAGAAGCTGGCGTTGGGCCCAATTCCCCGTAAATGTCACGTTTCTGTCCATCATGGCCTGTTTAAAAGATGTATTGGTAATGTAATAGACTGAGTTTGTGCATACATTAACTTTTAGGGGATCAGATATTATTAAATTTACTAACAATAGCATTTATTTTGTTTGTTTTTGAGGGGGGGGGGGGGGGTGCTAAATGATCTTTTTAAAGCCAAGATGTCATATTTTCTCATAAGCCTGATTTGAGTTCTCGGGGCGGAAGGTTGAAGCTACACTAGAGCAGTACTTAGAATGTGATGCCTGAAGCCCTATCAAAGCGGGAACTTCAAAGTTTACAAGAATCTTATTGTTCTGCATTCCTCTTTTAATCAGCAGTTTCCAGAATATGTTGTGGTTCACAGCTAGGCTGCAGTATTCTTACTTCAGCAAATCCTTAGTCACCCTTCGTGACGTACTTAATATAGGGCAGTGGGTCTGTTCCTTTTCCTCCCTGTGAAATAGATACCCAAACAAAAATGTCAAGTTGGTGGACAGTCAGTCTATAACAATAGCTGGCAAGCACCATCTACACAGTACACATTAACTCTTTCAGTACCAACATCTTTCACGGGAGATAAACAAGTGAATAATTAATCACAAAGGAAAAAGTCAGGAATGCTCTACTTTCAGCGTGATTCACATATAATAGGAAGCATTACAACAAAGCTGAATACAAAAAGATCAACATTGAAAGACTTCCAGACCATAAATTGTGGCTTCTTATTAGATGGGAAATTAAAAAGAAGACGAAAATAACTACTGCTCCGTCTCTATTATTCTTGCCATATGGACATTTGCTACACTATGACATACCTGAAGCAAGTCAGAAGCCGGCCTGTGAGTGTCGATCAATGCATTGTCTGTTTGTTTGTTGTGTATGCTTTCAGCGTGGCAGTATAACAGTTGCGGGGGAGGTGGGCTGGATTTCTTTAGTATGTGCTGACCAAATGTTTAAATTAATAGAGCACATTATGCAATAGAGGAATATCAAGACTAAAATTCATATCGCATATGTTACCTGGTACCAAAAGAGTTTAGTTATTGAAGAGTCATTTACTTTTTTACTTTATTTAAAGGAAAACAAAAAGAAGACAGGATAAGTTTATTGATTATCAGCTACACAAATATGTCAAGCCTTAACAGTCATTATTTTTGCACTGTGTGATCTATTTATATCTATATATTTCTTCAATAGCATGTTTTTAAAAACTGATTTGTTTTCCTTATTTTTATGTGTCTCTCTCTGAATTTGTTGAATATTTTTATTTTTAAGGTTAATCGCATCCATGATTTATTTTTACTCACTACTGCATTGATGTAATAATATCACATATTTATAAATTGCAAAGAGTAGACTGCATAGCCACTTATTAGCAAAAACACAGAAACAACTTATTTACCGCTGAAGAGACCCTCTTTACCTGTAGTGGAATTCTGGAGAAAGGCTAAATGCACACTGAAATCAAACACACAGGTGGAAGCAGTGAGCACAACTGGATGTAATGCACTTTGCTGGGAAGATATCAGAAAATGTGTAATGTGGAACATTCATATGAGAGGAGCAGCTGGACATATGATTAGAATGTGGGGTTCTCATTCTAGGAGGCACAGTTTTTAAACCTCAGTAAGGTGATAATTTGAATCCGTGAGGGGCAGAAATAAACATCTGGACCTGCACACTTTGTGGTGGCTGCACTACATTAATAGCCTTACATTCTTAGGGTCAAGATCCACTGTCTTACACTGACCCTAAAAGTGACAATTATTTGGGACCAAATATACATCCATTTTCTATAACATCAAACAAATTTATTTTTTTTATTCAATTTTAAAAACAGAGGCAAGATCATCCAGTTATCAAGAAATAAATCAGGTAAAATCATCATCATGTGTCCTGCAGACAGCATAGGTGTTCTTGGGTCATATTAGACTAATCAGCCACCCTTGTACTCATAATCATTGATCATTAAATTACTACTTAGGATGAAAGTGGTCTTCATCGCTCATGATGGACAAACAACAACATTGTCTCCACAGATCACAATCCTTAGTGCTGGGTATCTGTGTATTAATATTCTCCGAACCAAATCTCGGACCATAAAACTATCAGTATGCCCGGCCTTGTTCACCATTAATCTTTCTAGCTGCATCGATGTTCTCCAAAACCTTTTATCTCATCACATGCCAAAAAAAAAACAGTTTATCTCTTACAGTTACTTGTAATTTTTCTCCTCTGAATTGAAATTTCCAGACAGTCATCATTCACTCTATCTGTTTAACTCTTTGGGTGCCAAAAATTACATTATGCAATGATGTTTAATTAATTTCACAGTCCTCTGGTGTTGAAAGTGTTTAGTTATTTGCAACATTTATTTTAGAAACTCCATATCCATTTTTTAAGACCAGTCGTTTTATATGGCCCTGAAACTTAAAGCAGAGCTAGAAGAGCCTTATCTTTAATTTAACAAAACAGATTTTTATGCTGAATCTTTAAACCCATCAAAGATGCAAATAGTGGAGAGTGAGAGTCAACGGTGAAATTTATAATCTGTTTAAATCACCACTGATCACTGGCATCATGAGAGCTAATAGACTGAAATAGCTGGGGCATATTGAGAGAATATCAAATGACAGAGATGTAAAAACTGTACACAAGGAAGCTGAATGGTCTAGTGAAATAGCTAAAAATCTGTGAGGTATACATTACCAACCTAGATCTGATTCAGATCATCTGTGTTTACAATGCTGATTCGTGACTTGATATCTTCATTGTCCGTCCCATTGAATCATTGTTTTGTGACTGTTTATAGCATAGCTGCGATATTTATGCCCTCTTGCTGATAAATGCAGTTTCTTCTGTGTTAGCCTTTGCAGACTTGATCATAGACTATATGGGTTGAGAGGACAGTTGAGACCAACTTAACTCTGAAAAATGCAGGCCCTTTTCAAAGTTTAAATGACCTTTGCAAAATGTTGACTTTTCTCGTTACACACTGGAAAGTCATCCAGTTCCTTGCCAACCTTCCCACCTCATGAACTCCTTTGCCTAGTGCCTGGATATTCTGTAACTACTGCCATGCTGGCCAACCCCCGCATTTCTTCGCTGAACTACCCCTGCCACTAGTGTTCTCTTCAGACCATTACAACACTTAATATGGTCAAAGTATTTCAGTTCAAGAGAGGTTATACTGTCCGTGAGCTAGCTTCTTCAAATAAAAAAAATATCATTTTTCCTTTTCCTAATACTCATAATATACCTTCTTCCTTTCCTTTTTTAGTGTTCACTGGCTGAAAAATAGTTGTTTAGTACACTTCTAGACTTGTTCCAGAGCCAGAGTTTTGCATGCACATTCATTTTACAGTTCTGGCTTGTTTATATGCAAACTGTTGGTTCCTCACCCACAAGTTCGAAGGAAACACTCCTAATTAGTCGACTTTTGCAACATGCTTGTTAGGGCCAATGGATCTCCCCCTCCTGGTGGGACCCCTGAGCCCACACAGGGAAAGAATATTCCGAGAATCTTTCTGTAACATTGAAGTTGAAAAGTCCAGATATTTTAACGCAATTGGAATGATGAAATAGTATGTAAAAAAAAAAAGAACGTTGGTGAGAGAGGGCAGAGGTGCTGGATTTGATTTCATCCATGGTCTCAAAGGATAATGTGATGAATTGACCAAACAACCAGCAGTAAGACAATATCATGATATAATCAGTTATATTAATTTGTATTTATGCAGTCATACATACATACATTGTTTAAAATGTCTTGTGTCTTACAGATAACAGATTTACGTCTGAACGTAGCATCTTACGAGCCAAGAGAAAAATCATCAATGACACCCCATTGCCATATTCAACAGCAAAATGTACATCCTCAACTTACTTTGAACCTCCTTGCCACCTTGTTGAGTCTCCTTCAGCACCAGTTCTTGTCAAATCTGAAATCACAACCGAGCCTTCAGTAACACTAAAGGAGATGTCAAGCATCTTTATAGGCAAGGCAGCTGAGTCCAGAAATATGCCGGTGTCAGGACACAGTGACATTAGCTCCATCGCAGACACTTTAGACAGTTTCTTAGCACAAAGCCAGTTTATGTTTCAGGACGTAGTCTCACTGCCAGATTTTTCGTCAAACGGAGATATGCTGGACACTTTTTCAAGCCCTATAAAAAATGAATTTACAGACGAATTCTTAGAGATATTTGCATCGGATGACTTGTCTACAAATAACACTTTATATTCAGCTGTTGCTATGTCAGACATGAATGATTCTCATTCGAACTGCAGTTCATTATCTTCCTTGCTGCACCAAAACAGTATATTTTCAGGCAGTAGTAACGACGGAGAAATCTGTTTAAACGATATGGTCGATATCAAAAATGGTATCTCTGACATAATCTTGGAGTCTTCCTTCAGTAATCTACAATGTGATCAGCCTTCATTAGAACATGTGGTGACAAGTGATTCTCAGCTGTGGGAGATCTTCATGGGTTTAGATCACAGTTATTGTTCAAGACCGTTGCCAGAAGCTGATTGTACAAAGGATGCTTCAGGATGTTTAGCTGTCTTCGGAGACTATCCGGAAAATTCATGCTACGACCAAACGCTGTTGGAGTGCGTCACCAATGTGTTAGATGACTCATGTTCTGTGCCTGGCTTAGCAAATGCAGAGATGTTTTCTATAGAAGAAGAAGAAATAGTTATTGATGCTAAAGAAGAGGAAATCATTATTGATGCCAAAGAAGAGGAAATCAATATTGATGCTGAAGAAAAGAACATTTTTTTTGATACTAAAGAAGAGGAAATTATTTTTGGTGCTAAAGAAGAGAAAATCATTTTTGGTGCTAAAGAAGAGGAAATCATTTTTGGTGCTAAAGAAGAGAAAATCGTTATTGATACTGACAGTAATGGTATGTACTGCAATCCTTCAGGTCAGTTACCAGGTTGTGAATCATTTGATAAACATTTGAGCAGTCTTGAAGATGTTCAAACAGCCGAAGAGAATATCCCAGTAAAGCTGAACAATTCAGTGAATAGTAGTGTTGATAATATGGAATTAAACACTGATCCTTCGAGTGAGGACGCAGAGGTCTTTTTTGACAAGATTCCAGCTTATTACACAGCACTGTCTATATCTTCAAAACCACTGACAACTTCTGTGTTTGCCAGTTCCACAAAAAACATAGGTAGTACTGATCATTTGGACATGTGGGATTCTAAGGAGAAATGTGATGACAGACATTATGACAAAGTGCCTCCTATTCGACGTTGCTTCGCAAACACAGTAAAGGAAGTTGAAATAAAACCTGGTAGCTCAGACAATGTTAATGTTGCTACCGCTCCTGAGCCTGAAAAGGATGTTCTTCCAAACTCTTCAGCACAGAAAACTGTGATCGTACCATTGACTGTTGAGAATGTAGCAGCCACAGCTGACTTGAAGCACCCTAAGAGGTCACATTCCCCATATACTAAAACTGCGAGCCGCTGCTCCAGATCTCCAGTAAAGCGCTCTCCATCCACTTCAAGATTTTCTAGACACTCAGCATCAAGTTCATCGGACTGCTCGACTTGCTCCTCGTGCTCTCGGTGCTCAACATGCTCACTCTCAAGGTCATGCAGCTCAAGTGGCAGTGAAAGGGACTCTTCATTATGTTCGGATTACAGAAGAAGGTATTTTTTTTATATATTGGAACTTTTTTTTGTCCTGGTAAATTGCCCTCCATTACTTGATTAATCATTACATTGTGTGCATTACCTATGACACTTTCCAGAATTATCTAGGAAGGAAAGGTGGCAGGATTGGGAACTAGCCAGCCACATCATATGTCACGGCCTAGAATATGTGAAGGCTATGTCATATCCCGGTATAGCCTCAGCAGACAGCGAAACATCATGAAGCATCCTCATATCCCAACTGCAGTGTCTGCTATGGCAGGCATGTCAAACCTACGGTCCCCTGAGTGCCATATGAGTCAAATTATGTTGTCACAAGGGCCACACACTACAAGTAATTAAAGTATTTTAATTTTAAAAAATTTGCAATGTACGGCAGTAGATGGTTGGAGAGGAGCAGGAAGACTACTCCTTTGAAGGAGAGTCCCATTCCATAATATCCTAAGGTAGTTAAGTTGTGTAGGTATTTCACTTATTCTTTTTCTTGTTTGTATCCTGGGAAGTGGTTCAGTTGCTGGTTCGCTGGCTAACAATAATTTATCTACTTCATCTAACACTTAAGACATTTGATTCGTTAACATAGTCACCTCTTTTGCCAGATCTGCAGTCTTTAGCATCACTTTGTTCTTTAAGATAGTACATATAAAAAATTTAGCCATGTTATACTGCTCGGTGAGATCGGAAATACAACCACCATTCTCATGTTTAGTGATTATTTATTTCTCTGTTTCTACTGTAATGCACTAAGGCTTCTGTCACTAACATTTTTCACTTTCTTGGGAGCCGTAATGAGGGTTAATTTAATGAAAACAATTTATCAAGAACAATGTAATGACAAGCAATGTTCATAGCAGTAAGTAAGTAAATCTAACTCCACCAGGACATCACACGAAGTGCCACCATGCAAATGAGGATCACCTGTGGAGAGGTCCTGGAAACCACGATGAACCGTTAGGCTATATTGCGGCCCCTGGCAACAGCCAGAGTGGGGCTTCGAAACAACGAAAAAATGCATCCCACAAGGGGATGACGGTTCAACAAATGTTCACAGCACACAAACCTGAATACAACTGATGCTGTTCGTTAGCTATAAAGCGTTGTTCCAAATTCATAATTGTGCATTCGTGAGCCACGGCATTGTTAGTGGTTCGTGTAAAAATTTGTTCAGACATTGTGTTCATGGGCTGATTTGTTCGTGACTGTAGGCATTCGTGACAGAGTGTGACACAGGTTGACTGCTTTGGTATTATTTTTTTTTTCAACTTTTTATGTCTGTTGTTAAAATAGTTGATCTGTTCTGCCACTGAATTTACTTCAACCCCTCTTGCTTTATATTTCTAGTTGTAATGTACCTTCTTCTTCTTCTTCACTTCCTCTTTTACCGCTGTGGGTGTCGAGGGAGATATAAGGTTCTGTTTCTAGCTCTTCTGGCTGCCTCGACCTCGACCACATCGTGCTGTTGTAGAGTTTCTCTGATGTTATCCTTCCATCTTGTTCTTGGTCTACCCCGTGCTCTACGTCCTTCTTCTCTTTCCATGTATGCTTTGTATGGTATGGTGTCACAAGGCATTCTCTCTAAGTGGGCAAACCATTTCACTTGCTGTCTTTGTATGTAATCCAGAATTGGTTCTGTGCCGACTTGTTCTCCTATGATCTCATTCCTGATCTTATCTCTTATAGTCACTCCTACAGCCCTTCTCAGACATCTCATTTCCGTGGTTACTTATTTTCTTTTATGGTTTGTTGTGAGTGACCATGTCTGGCACTGGTAGCACAGAGTTGGAATAAATATGCTTTGAATAAGATGTCTCTTTGTGCTGATTGGGATTGTCTTATGCTGTAAGAGGGGGGCTAGCTGTCCCATTACTTGGTTTGCTTTACTGCATCTAATTTATCCAATTTCCCATCTTCGGTAAATGTAGTTCCCAGATATTTAAACGGATGCGTGTTAAATGTCTTTGTATTCTATTGCTATGTTTAGATCTGTCTTCTTTTTTCCTATTGACATTACTTCTGTCTTTTCACTGTTGATTCTCATATTATTTGTTTTACATTCTTCATTCATGGATGTTAGATGTTGTTGCAATTTCATGGCTGTATCTGCTATCAAGGCCTGGTCATCTGCAAAGAGTAATTCGTTGATCTTACAAAGATCTTCATTCATGGGCTTGACATTCTTGCATATACTGTCGATGTATGTGTAATGTACCTTAAAGTACACAAATTCTGAGATAAAAAATGTTAGTTAGTATCTGGTACAAAAAATTGAATTTGCCTTATTTTCCCAGTATATCAGCACATGCTACTACCCTATACTGATGCTTAAGAAAAGAAGAAATTCTTTGCTATTTCCACTATGAAGATTGGCTTCAGTGTACCTCTGTTATCTTTAAGAATATTACATGGTGAGATTCCAGTTTCTTCCATGGTGTGACTCTCGTACCATTGTCTGAAAACCATGAGATGGCTTTTTTTTTAAAATGTCCACCTCGGGTAATTAACCCTGGTAGTAAAGGGTCATAAAATTGTTAACCACAGTCACTAACCTCTAAGCCATATAGCTACACACTGTGCTTTTGAAGAGGCTCATGTTTTATAGCAGCTGACAGTTTCTTGATTCATCAGTCATCTGTGATCTATTGTAGTACATTATTCCTCATGTGGGTTGCAAGGCAAAAGCAAGAATAGACCCACTGCCTCTCCAACAAGCATGTCGTATGAGTCAACTAATTGAGGGCTTCCTTCGAATTCAGAGTCTGGTTTATCTCTTCTTCTTCGCATTCACTGGCTGTAAACTCCGGCAGAAAGTTCTGGTTGTTGATCCACCTCTGGACTGTAGTCTTTTCCAAAACATCCATTTTACAGATTTAGCGTATTTTTATGCAGATTGTTGGTTTCTTGCATCTCAGGCAGATGCACTCGGACTTTAAAGGAAATCCCCAGTTATTTGACTCATATGACATGCTTGTTGGGGATACAGTGGGTCTGTTCTTGTTTTTCCCAGTTAGGTCCCAGAACCCACACGAATAACTGATTTATATTACCTAAAATTGCGCAGTTTAAAAAATAAAGTAAAAGTGTACACAACTTGATTCTAATTGTTGAATGACAGGGATTCTTCAGATCTGAACTAATGATATGTAGTACTGACCAGTGATACATCTTCCTTGTAAACAGATCGAGGTCACCAGTCTCCGGAAGTAGCAAGTTTTCAGCTCAAACCGTCAGATATGGCTCGACTTCCCGAGAAGGTCAACAGTCAAAATCTAAAGGCCCTAGTTCTGGTGAAGAGTCTGTATGGAGGTAATGATTTTGTAATAATTCATGTATATGTAGTAGAAGTTAGGCCTTCTCACACTTTAGGTCATGCTATAGGAGTTGTTACCAGTTTTTTTCTCCTCATCCTCTTCCCTTTCTATAAATATTTTTACATTTTGTTTTGGTATCCACTGATGCCAGATTCATACTGGTCAGTCAGAGACAGTGCTGCTGTTTCTGTTTGATTTTTGAAAGTAGACAAAGTTGATGATTAACTGCAACTGAAATTCCATACGGGTTCTTCAGGGATTATTTTGAGGGTGAAGACGTGGTCTACTCATGATTGTTTTAGTCTGAAGCCTGCTTGTTCTTTTCTTAGCCTTTCATCTATAGACTTTTTCAATCTCTTCAGTAACATGCTACAAAATATTTTTCCTGGCATTGAAAGCAGCTGGTGATACCATGCCAGACTCTTCGCTGGCTTCTGAAGATGGGGACGGAGCGCTTAGGGGAATACTCTGAGTGCTGTGATGTCAGTTCTTGAATCCAATCAAATCTCTTCCATTGTAAATGTCTCACATGAGGCACCTGGGGGGAGTCATCCAGATTGGGAACAGTGTCATGCTGTGGTCTATTTAATATTTCTTTGAACTGTTCTGCCCATCGCAGCTTTCGCTGATCTTCGCATAACAGTAGTTAACCTTGTTTGTCTTTAATGGGCATTACAGAAAATTAGGTATCTGGGCACATGGATAATATCAGATGGAAGATGAATAACTGAGATGAGAAACAATATGACAGGCAAAAACAGCATTTTATAAAATGAAGAACATCTTATGCAATATATCTTTGTCATTGAGGGTTAGAAAAAGAATTCTTCACTTGCTACATACATCTAGTTTTAACGTATGGCTGTGGTTTCGAAGAGGCGGGAGCCCGAGAACAACTTGTCACAGACATGTTGTGACCACTGGGAAAGATCTATTGAAGGAGGAATAGGGAAAGACAACTAGAGAAGATTCTTGACAGTCTTTTTGCATGGCATGGAGGTGTGTCAGCACACGAACTGATACATGCTGCAGGAGATCGCAGATTGTGGAGAGGCATGATCGCCCACACCAGTCAGCCAGGCACCTGATGATAATGATGATGATTTACCATAGGTGTGTGATTACATAGTTGTTTCATAATATGAACTATGGCTTTATTGTTTCCAGTTTTGGCAGCTGTTTAAACATTAGAGGCCAGGTTGTGAATAAATTTCTGTTTATGTGTTTATGCGCTTGATTTCACCTCTTTATCCAACATGGTGTATTTTCTGTTGGATTTGTACGAAGATGTATCTTGTGCTGGAGTCCTGGGTTCAAGCCCTTATGAAGGCTGGTAGTTTTTCACGTGGACTTCTAGTAATTTCCACTGGTCTCTGGATAGTGATATAGGACACCTGTGTGTATTGTTGCACACGTAACAAATTCCTTGGCAGTTGGAAATCGAAAAGAGTAGCCTAATAGCACTGCCGAGGCCAAATTTGGAGTTTAAAATCTACCCTAAGTATTTCAGGATCCTCACCGGTGCTACAGAGACTTGAGTTAGAAGTAGAACAGAGCACTTAGGGATTACTACCCATGTGCCATGATGTTGATCTGTTGTTCAAACTTCTTTCTTGTATCTCTATCCAGACATTACCGCTTAGCCACTTCTTCTTGTGCCAATTCTTCTTGTGTCTTTGCACATAACCTACTATGTTGGTTGCAGTGTTTTTCTTAAGGAGGTCTCAATTTTCTTCTGTATTATTTTTAATATTTACATTGCTCATTTTACTTTCTTTGTTTTTCTAGATATTCTTTAATCAGAGAGTGAGCACTAAAGAAGCACTGTAAGCTGTCATGCATGTAAACATCTTCTTTGCGTTCACTGGCTGTCAACTCTGGCGAAACGTTCAGGTTGTTCGTCCACTTCTGGACTCTAGTACGGTTCCAGAACCTGAGTGTTTTGTGCGCATCCATTTTATAAGTCTGACTCATTTGTATGCTAACTTGTTTCCATTGACTTCGAAGAAAGCTCCCAGTTAGTCAACCCTTATGGCATGCTTTTGGTTAAGCAGTGGGCCTCTTCTGGTTTCCCCGTTGTTCCCCAGCTCACATTGGGACATGCATGCAATAAGTCACCAAAGAAAGTTGGTGTGAAACCGGCTGTCCCATATCATTGTTTACTTAGAATAGGACTTGGAAGCTCATTGAAAGGGGTAATGAACACGAATACATGCCAGCATTTTAACCATGAAGCCTTTATCAGCAAACAAAGCAACACTGCAAAAAACTGCACCACCGATAAGTAATTTCCAGGCACCCATTTGTCGCTCATGACCATTTCAAGAACTGGCTAGGCCACCAAAGATAATGCACCTCATCACTCGTAACTATTTCAAGCAATGGCCATTCACCCAAGATAAGGCACCCATTCATCACTCATAACTGTTTCCAGCAATGGCTACCAAAGATGATATTTGTCCATACTTTTTTTCTACAGGAGATATATTTAGTATCTTGCATAACACTATACATTCTTTAATTAGTGATTTTCATCACAGAGTAGAAATAATAGCCTGCCGATCTTTCTAAGTGTTTGTTGTCTCCACTCTGTTTTATCTGAAGATCAAAGCGGCACAAATATAAAGCTAAACATGATTCGGCTATGGATATGAGAACATTGCAGAAAAGAAAACTCAAGGAAGAAGAGCAAACTAAAGCTATGGTATGTTGTTATTTTTTTCATGTTTGTTTCTGATGTATCTCTTTTCCTCTCAAATGAGTGTCTCAGTCTTGCCTCCTCATTTGGCGTCCCCTTTTATGTTGCTTCTCTTTGTTATACAGTTCATTTCCATTGTGATTGTGCACAACTATTTATTGCAGCACTCATTTTGCAAGAACAGCTGTTTTAGAAGTGTTTCATCTCAAAATCAAATGGCAAGATAAGATCCCAAATACTGTGGTTCTTGATAAGGCAAACCTGCCTAGCATCCCCACAATACTGAAGAATTGTCAGCTGCATTGGGCTGATCCCCTAACCCGCATGCCAGAATATTTTCTCTCAAAGACAGTATTTTATGGCGATCTCCAGCAAGGGAAAAGGTTCCAGTAGGAACAGAAAAAGTGCTATAAGGACACTCTGAAGACTGCTTTCAATTCTTTTGACATTAACACAGTGACGTGGGAGGCTGCTGCACAAGACCGTTTAAAAAAAATGACCTTGGCCATCAGGTCAACCCAGCCTTGAGTGGGTACCGGGTGCAGTCCCGGGAAGTAAAGGCGGCCGGTGTGATGCTGACCACATTACCCATCTTGTGTCGATTGGTTTATAAAAATATAGGTCCAGCCCAGTTTGCCCTATACACCTCCACGATGACATAGTTAAGCTGCCTTCCTTTTGCTATAAATGTTCTGTGGCATTGTTTCAGTCTCTGTGATTTAGTTTTTGAGTGCAGGTGTTTGTAGATATCTGGGAGCTGTCGCTAGAATTTCTTAAGTAACAGTGTCTTCTTCTGCCTTTCTAGCCTTCAATGGAACATAGGCTCTCAAAAAACTCATGCCAAGTCATTCTATATTTTGCTATCACATGCAGCTGTCCCCATGTCCTCCCCATCTTTCTAACTTTATTCTCCAGCTCCCTTCTCCATGTGTTTTTTGGCCTTCCTTTTTCATAGACTCCTGTGGATTCCAGTGCAAAGACATTCTAGTTTTATAACAGTGTAGTGGTACATTAAACATGCGGCTTGGTACATTATGTTAAAGATTTTTGGAGGGTCTCACTTCATCTGTTTCCTGTCCATTTACCTGTCAGGTGTTTTTTGTGTGTTTTTTTTTTATAGTATCCAGAAGCCATGCATTGTTAACCCTTAGGTTCGGTATTATGGATATCGCAACCCTTCGGCCTTGATCCCATGATAAATACCGTAGATCTGGGAGAAATATGGCTTTTCTGCCTCCCCCCGGGCGTGAACCCGGACCACAAGGAGTTCGTTACCCGATCACCTCGCAATCCGGTTTAGCCAACTATGCTAGCGAGCCAGGCAGATGTGTTTAAAGTGTGCAACCAACATCTTAGCTTCTGGATGCAGGCATCTCTACCACTTCAAGTTGGAGACAAATAAAACGAATGTATACATTATTATGACTTCATATCTATAAGGAACATTCATTCAAAACCTGTTCATGCCGAACTGTGCCTAATTACTTGGGCTGAACATGATTTATCATATGATTGTCATAGAACCTGTTTCTCTTTTTACTCACTATGATGGGGGGTGCAGGTTTAAATCCTCCCTCCTGATGCAAGGTAGAAATTGAGACAGCTGTCTTTTGATGCAAAAAGCAGACGGTATCCCCAGATACTCAGATACAGACTCAAATTGGCTCATGAAAGAAAGAGCTGCCTGAATAGCCCCAGAAATGGAATAAAGGGAATTTAGAGGTCTAGCGAGCATTTACAAAATTAATAACTAGACAGCAGATTACTTTTCCCGACAATTTCCCTTTCTGGTCATTAAATTAGACCTTCTAGAATAGGTATTTTGATATACAGTACTAAACTGACACCATACACATATCTAGAAATACAATTAAACTTTAACTAAGAGTGTAAATCACTCATAGATATGTTTATTAAAGTTGATATCAATCATTTAGTACTTTTAAAATACTATCCTCAAGCTAAATAGATATGAGAGAAAATATAATGGTAACATGAAACTGTCGTCATGAGAGAGTTAATGAGAATTTTATCTTGGACAAATAACGATTACCACCTGGGGTGTCCAAGAAGATCTTTATACAAAATTGATGTTGAAGTCTGGATCTGCCCCAATCACCAAGACCTTCTGTTGGACATCTCAGTCATCACCTACGACCAGCCTGGCAGTGTTTTGCAAGTTCGTCCTGCCGCAAGGAACCAGGAATCTGTCCTTGTGACTATAGGGTGCATTTGGCCACACCCCTAGATTTTTAGACTGCTGGAAAGAAAGAATCAAAGTTGTCTTCCAAAAACTGCATGCTCTTTCTCCTGCTGGCGGCCGGAAGTGAATAACGATATCACGTGTGCCTAGCATGATTTGAATTTGTAGCCAGGTTGTGACCACGGCGTTGCTGGTGGTAATTCCTCATTCGAAAGCGATGGGCTCTAGTGTGCCAGGAAATTACAAACTAACCAAACTGGGAATTTCCCAAACAGCAGCCGTATACACATAGGGATATCCCCGTATGTCATCTCTGACTAAAATGTCACTCTTGTAGCCAAGAGGGGAAAAATAAAGGGTCGAAAAGGGGGGGGGGGGGTACGTCATTCAAGGTATCGTTGTCTCACGACAATGATAAGTACTGACCAATGCATAAATGGGTCTGTTTCTGACCGTTGAGAAAATGGCAGGCTTGATTTAAAAAATACATCTAAAGATGAGTGGTGATGCTATTTCTTTCATTTGAAAGATGTGGACCAGTGGACTTTCATAGAAGAATGAAGGCAGTGTAAAGTAAGAAATGTGTGTTGCTGACAACAGTGACAGACTGGAGAATGCTTGTTTATGCAGTGGGTACCATGGATGTTTACCGACCCTGAAAAAGAGCAGCGCACGAAAGGGCATTTGAACCACTCGTTACAGAGTGGAATGTGATGCATTTTTCTTCAGCAAAGTGGCATTGAATCATGGTGTGCAGCAAAAGAAAGAGCATGCAGTGTGGGCATTTTAGATCACCAAAAGCCAGCACAATTTCTGGTTTCTGCTAGTAAGTGTACGCTAAGCTCATTGAGGATGAGATGTTATCGTTGGCAGACTTTCGAACCTAATGTCAGCATTAGCTCTACCCACTACTTGGAAACACTAGGCAGGTTGCATAAGGCCATAAAAAAAAAATGTCCTGGCATACTTTCTCACAGAGTGATTTTGTTGCATTATATGTTGCAAGATTGTGCAGGAAGCATTACCACGGAAAAAATGGGAAATTCTACAGTATCCAGTTTATAGTTCTGATTTGTCCCTATAGTTCTTTGTCCCTGTGTGATTTTAATTGATAATGACATCTAAATAAGCTCTCAAAATGCAACGATTTCTCACAAATGCAGACACAAGTTAACATGGTAGTCACTTGATTCAGTGAGCTACCAGTCCTTGTTCTTGCGAGTGGCATTCCCCACCTACGTAAGCAATGGAATGCTTGCCTGAATGTCTTATTTCTGACCAACCCAAGGTGCATAATTCATTTAAAGTAAATCCTTTGTTTAAGTCTGCCACTTCTGTTGCTGATTCTTTCATGCTTTTGTAATAAACCAGTTCATCATCAGTTATCGTTATTCCTAGTGGCACATGAAGCTTCATTGTTGCGTGCAATAATAAACCAGTTGAAATGGGTTTAAAATGTTGCTGCTTAAAAATATATATTTTTGTTTAAAATACATTATAAGCCATTCGGTGCCTTATTCAATATTCTTTGTATTTACTAGGAGGAAAGACGAATAGTGTACGTTGGTAAAATTCCAGATGGCTACACCAAAAAGCAGCTATATCAAAGATTTCAGAGTTTTGGTGAAATTAAAGAAGTAAAAGTGAACTTTAGAGAACATGGGTAAGTAGTTGACACCATTAGATTTGATTTTGCTAGTTGTTGACTTTTATGTAAATGTTTTGTAAGGCAACCGATTTTGAATTTGAGACAGTTTTATAACCAACACTGACATCATCACTGACACTTCATCAGCGCTCTCATCATGAAAATTCAGACGAGGCACATGTACTGTCTACACAGACGGATAGGTTATTTGCCAGCAGAGAAGTGCATGGGCATTAACAGCACATTCAGCGGGCAGAACAGTCAAAGAAGCCAATGGTGCTTCTCCACGACAACCAGCAGCATGACGATGGAGGTGGAGGCAGTAACACAAGTGTTTGCGTGGCTTGAAATACAAAACTATATCAGCTCATGTATACTTAGTGATTCAATGCGTATGATCGGGAGGGTTTAGACAGGTGTAGTGCAAAGGTAATGGCTTGAATCATTACAGAAGTCCATTGTGCGTGGAGTCACATATTTATTTTCATTCTGGGATATGCGGGCGTCAGTGGAAATAAAAGAGCTGATAGGTTGGTTTGATCCGCTATCACTACCCATAGTCAACCTATGGACCATGCTGATACTATTAATGCCTTTCCAGAAATGGGAAGGGTGGAGGACCTTGGGGCAGGTAATCCACATGACTCGCCAGAATGTCAGACTTGGGAGTTAAGATCAGCGTTTAAAAAAGCTTAATGCACACAGGCACATCAGAGGACTTATTAATCAGTATAGAACTGGTACTATTAGTCACTGGGGTTCATACTGAGTGGAGGATCTGTGCACCTATGGGCATGTCCAGAGTGCAGTGATGATAACCTAGCTAACTTACTTACTTTTTATCTCTCAGCAAGCAGTGCAGGGGTTGTTGATTGTTCTAGTAGACACATTAAATTCATAATTTATTGATGCATATTTAATTGTCTGTAACCACACTTATGTACAAAATGAAGCTTCCACACAGTTTGTTTCATTAGCAGCCAGTCATAATCAGCCTTTGATAGATCCAATTTTTTTTTTTAAGGTCAGATTTATAGTATTTTTCTGTCACTGCATCCTTGATAAATAATTGACTTCATCCTAATAAAATCAGATATTTTTATTGGCCACTTTGAAAGTAGTGCATTTTACTTCTATTCATTGCTTATTGCCTTCCTTGGGCATTTTTTTCCTTTTGTGACACCGAATCTTCTTCTTCAGCATGTTGAATCATTGAAGTTCCTTGCTGCAGACATTACCCTCCTCCATTCATCTGTGACCGGCCTACTCTTTCCAGTTTGTAGGTCTGCCTCAATATTATCTCTCTGCTGACTTCTTAGTCTGCCTCCTGGTCTACAACTATGCTGCTCTGTTGTGTACACAGTTTCTTCTCTGTCATCTGCCATTTTCTGATTCAGATTCCCTTTAGGGATACCCAAAAGCAGTCTACAGACTTGACATTCCCTGCACACTGCTCACTTCCTCAGCACAAATGGGCCTCTCACTTCCTCAGCACAAATGGGCCTCTCACTTCCCCTGCATGTCAAGCTTCTCTTTGACAATGGCACCTTTCATGTGGGTGTCCTGGATCTTCATTAGTCATGATCAGTTCTAGAGAAAAACAAACACTCAACCACATTCAACCAGTTATATTTGTGATCTGGTTTATTCACGGCCCCTCCATGGCTTAGTTTTGGGTATGGGCGCCAACTTTATGGCTTTATGTCCTTATCCTAATATCTATAACTTTTCCTCATGCCTGACTGAAATCGCTGTGCAGCTGAAGCATTTGATTTTAGCAGATGTATACTTAATGTAAATATTTTAGAAAAGTGTGTTGATAAATATGTACTTGTGTACTTTTCAGGGATAACTATGGTTTTGTTACCTTTGCATATTCCTGTGATGCAGTAGCTGCTAAAGAAAGTAAGAGCTTGAAGTGTGTCTATAAAATTGCTTGTTTTGAAAATAAATTGGATAATGATGTAGCAGAAAAGGGTAGATATTCTTCTGTATTTGCTTTTCAAAGGACAGTTAGCACATATGTTTTTGCAGTTTTCTGCAGTATCTGCCTTTCAGCCCCTAGGTCTGATTTTTATAAATCCACAATTGATCACCTTTTATGACAAGCTTGTTAAGGATCAGTGGGTCTACTATTTTTCCTCCTAGAAGGGGCCACAGGACCCATACAGGATGCAGAGTAAGATTAAAAGCTTCATTTGTTTCAGTTTTATATCCTTCTGCTTTCTGTAGAGGTCACTGCTAGTTGTTGACCTTTACGCTTGTATTTATATTGGTCATATCTTTTTGTTTTTCTTCACTTGCTGTGTTAAAGTTTAAACGGGGGGAAAAAGTACCCTTTTGAGTTGTCCTCACGGCACTCTGATGTTCAGGCGTGCTCATACACCCTTTGACTTTCAGCATCTGCATTAGTATCCTGAGGTGCCAGTCCTATGCTGGTTTACAAGACTACTTACATATCTAGCATAAATGTTTCTTCACTCCCAAATCCTGTGTGCTCAGCATATGGGTATTTGGCCTACACAAAAATTATCTCTCCAGTGTGTCGCCATGTGTACCCCACACATGGAAGTTCACAAGAACTCTTATGCCTTCTTTTGCATTCTTAATATGTTTTTTTAAAAAATTATACATGTAAACTAGAATTTCTGATTTTGTCTGTTTATTCATTGACAGAAGGCAACAGTAAGCCAGGTGAAGCCAGATTTGATCTCTGTTTTGGAGGAAGACGCCATTTCTGCCCAGATCAGTATGCTGACTTAGGTAACATATTTATTATCTTTCCTTTTTATGACTGTTTTGTTTACTATTTCAGTACAAAGAAGTTTCCTATGTTTATTTTTTACATACTCTATATGTTTGTTCACTTCTTCTGTCTCGTTATTGTTTCCTTATTTCTTCTGCCCAACCCTTTATTCTGTTTCATTATTCATTCTACCTATCCCTTTATTATGTTTCCTTTTTCCTTCTGACCATCCTTTATTCTGTTTCTGTATTCCTTTACCCATCCCTTTATTCTGTTACCATATTTCTTCACCCATCCCTTTATTATGTTTCCTCATTCCTTCTGCCCATCCCTTTATTCTGTTTCCTGTTATCTTCTCCCTGTTATTCAACTTACTCTGGCCCTACCAGCCAACCAGGCGGGCTGGATCCAGATCCCAATGCTGAGATATAATTTTTAGATGGAGGATGACAACACTGTAGACTGATTAAAAAGTATCATGAAAGTGTGTTGAAAGAAATGAACCTATGAAGAGAACCGATTATCTACATCAGAGAGAAATAGTCTGTATTCTTTGATCATACCATTATTTGGACAAATGTAATAAATAGAAAGATGGGAGAAAAGATGCAGAGAGAGAACAAAGAGAGGCTGGGCATCTTGGCATGGAAAAACATCTGTATCCAAAATCATTCACATTGCACAAGACATAAGGCAGATGGAGGCCAAGGAGATCCTAGACAGCTGGGCATCAAGCAGTGGAAAAACCGTCTGTATCCAAAATGATTGGCACTGCACGAGACAGAAGGCTGTGGACAGACATGATTGCCAGCGCCGCATGACAGGAAACAATAGAGTAACTTTGTTAAAATATGTGTGGTACCAAATGTGGAGAGAGAAAGAGAGAGCAATTTAGGAAATGTATTGCATTCTGTATGCTTAGAGATGTATGAATATTTCTTGTTTACAGATGGGAACCGTGAAATTGAGGAAGAGTATGCTTCCATACCTGGAAACGGGTCACAGGGATTAGATTTTGCAGCTCTTCTCAAACTACACAGTTCTCAGCAGAGGAAAAAGTGACATATAGTGACATGGGGGCTTTCAGTAGGGTATTTTATAAATAATACATTGATCTCTTATGGTATTTCTTTCTGTCTATCCATCTCTCTGTCTCAGCTATATCCCTGACATGTTCTTCTGTGTGTGCAGAATAGGTTAAATGGTATGATAGAATCACTAATGTGGGGCTTTGGGAGATAATTGAAAATTATAATGATGAGGAAAGGATGCTGGCATTGGATAGGACACAAACGGAGAAAAGCTGATCACAAGATAATTTAAAAAGACCTTGCACTGGAACTCACAGTGTCATAGAAATAAAAACAGATCTAAAAATTAAAATGGAGATGAGGAGGAGGTGAAAAAGGTGTGCAGGACATGGGGTGAGCTGCATGTAGTGGCAAAGAATGGGGCAGCTTGGTACCAATATGTTCCATTAGGGTGGGAGGGAAGGGGGGGCAGAACAGAATGTTCTCCTGTTATCCTTTTGTCCTTTTTGTCTTCCTATATTGAACTGGAAAGATCAGTGGGAAAAGGGGTAGAGACAGACCAAGAGAGATTGTGCTGGGTGGGCGAAATGATGGCATGGAGGGACATCATCAATTGAGCTGTTCCAGGCAACCAAGGATCGTTATCTGTTGAGATGCATTATCGCCTGCGCCAGTTGGCAGAGCACATGATGATGATATTGAGTGTACAATGAATACTACAGCTTTGCATTAATGATCCTAATGTTTTAGTTTGATAAAGCATTACAGAATGCAAACTTTGTTTTACCCCTCCTCCCCACCGTCACCACCACACCCCCCCTTTCCTCAATGAAAGCTGAAAATTTGCTGTGCAGACTGCCAGGTGTATTTCTCCTCAAATGATAAAAAAGTAAAAATTAAGTAATGGATTTTTTTCCCTGCCTTTTGTTTGGCACATAGGGCTAGATCTATATTTTATAGACCAATCGGCACAAGATGGGTGATGTGGTCAGCATTATGCCGGCCGCCTGAACTTCCCTGGACTGCACCCGGTACCCACTCAAGGCTGGGTCAACCGGGGGAGGGGGGGGTGCAAAGTCATTTTTGAAAAACAAAATCTTGCCCTCACATGGTAACATTTCTTTTCCTGGCCAGGGATTAGAATATGTGCCCAGATGTGAGAGATCAGTATTCTAACCCTTTGGTCTTGTTTCATATTATTTGTTTTATTGGTTTTCTGTGTATTTCCAATATTTTCGCTGTTGTTAATTTTGACTTGATTAACTACTTTTCAAGTAAATTAATTTTTCCAGTGTTCTGGTTGTCGTTTCGATTTGTTGTAACTGATGTTTGAGTTCTAGTGTTGTTGGGAATTATCAGTGTGTTGTGAATATTGAATATTGCTACTGGTGTTTTTGTTTGAAACTTTGTGCTGTGTGCAGTGGGCTTTATGACCTGAGAAGTTCTCTCTGCAGTTCCCACATTGCTGATTTTATAAAAAATTTGATTATTGATCATGAAATAAATGTTTTTAAATCTGCACTCAGTTGATTATTGTATGCTGTTTCCCTGTAATTGACCATTGGGTTCATTTTTCTAGTTACATTTGTTTTCTGCAATTATCCTTACAAGGGTGGTTGATTTGTCTTGCTATGATTTACAGCTAGACTGCGATATCTGTGTTTTTTGACCAAATAAATTTATTAGGGGGGGGGGGGGTTGCTGGGTGTATTACAGTGGTATGGGGCTGAGTGGTCTTGAACTATGGCGTCGGCCTCAAATGCTGGAGGTCCCGGTTTCAGGCCCTGGTGAGACTGGGATTTCACCTGGTCTCTGGGTAGTAAGATCAAACGCTGGTGTGTATTGTTGTGCACGTAAAAAATCCCTTTGCCTAACACCGCTGCCCAGGCTTAATTTAGAGTTAAAAATTTACCAAAAATAATTCAGGATCCTGGCCGGTACTACACATTTTTTGGACTCCGACTTGAGTAGAATATAGCACTTATGGGTTACTACCCTTGTACCATGATGTTGATCCGCTGTTTAAACCATCATCTAACAGTGATATATACTGTTCCCCCCCCCCCCCCCCCCCCCCCAGAATGGACCTGAAAACCAACTTATGGTTGTCATAAGTTTCTCATTATGTCTAGTAATCTTGATGTTTAAAAGGGTTAATTTGATTTGCTTCATGCTAAGAATATGTAATAAGTATATCCTAGCACTCTTCTAGTGTTATTTAAGATTATTTCCAATTTAAGTATCTTATTACTTTTGAAGTAAATTAGTGAAAACTTATTTGAAAGCTGCAGAGATGTGGTTTTATAGACGAATTATAAGAATACCATGGACAGAATAAAAGAACAATGAAGACATCTTGAAAGAGACTGACTCACGAAGAGAACTGATTGCTCACATCAGAAAAAGACAATCTACAAATCTTTGATCATGTGATGAGGAGAAAACCGGAGTACATTGTGACGATAGGAAAGTTGAATGGGAGGAGAGGCAGAGGGAGACCAAGAGAACAGATGATGGACAGTTTGACATCATGGCATGGAGGATCATCTGTATTCAGATTTGACTGATAGTACACGAGACAGAAGGTTGAGAATAGACATGACTACTAACGCCACACGGCATGGACTTTAAGAAGAATCACTTTTCCTAAAACCAAAGTAAAATGTACAAATAGGAGACATACTTAAAAAAAAATCTGATATGATTGAGAGAAAATGTATGCTTGTATTCCTAATTTACCAAACATTAACTGCATATTGTCTACAAAACTTTACAAACCTATGGCTGTTTTGTGGTTTATAGAGGCAGTTTTGTGCTTTGTTAGTTACTTCTTTCTCGATGGTTGACACTCAGACCTTCGTCAAAACGAGTGCAAAACCATCTGCTACCAAATTGGCTGTAGCTGATTTCAAACTCTGGCATGTCAGGATTGTGTAACTGCATTCACAACCTCTAAGCCACAGATGCTGTAGATAACTTTAGGTATCTTTGCTGGCACCTTTCTGTCCTTCCAGATGAGTTGAGTTGATTCAAGTATTGACATCACAGCACTCGGGGCATTTCCATAAGCGCTCTGTCCCCATCCTCAGCAGCTAGTGAAGAGTTCCGATACTAAAGGTGCCAGTAGCATTCTGATTAAACATCCCTCTTGCCCTTTCCTCTGAGCCTCAAGCATCTGGCAGACCTCTCGTCACTCCCTGCTGCATTAATCTCACCAGACTTTCCTACAAGGCACTAACCACGTCTGCCTTAAAAAGCATCAGTATTCCACCATGTTGTGCAGAGCCAGCCGGTCTGTCCGCCTGTTCATTTTCCAACACACCAGTCTCCCGCTGAAAAAATCCAGACAGTACTCACCCGTGTCCTCCGCAGCAAAGCATGCCACTCTGCATGAAGCATGCCAGATGATAGTGTTATATTGTGCTGTGGGGAGGCATAGAAATAAAGTTCCTGCTGTCTTTAGCATCCAGCCTGGGCAGTTTCGTTGAGAACATGTGTTGCCCATGTATCATCTTGACAACCTTTTATCACGCCATGGAGGGGTTTGCACACATGAAAGGATACCCATAGGTGAAGAGGCATGATGGCTCAAGCCAATCAGCAAGGCACTCGATGATGATGCATTATTGAAGTCTGATGCTACGAAATATTAGATGTGAAATTAGCTTTATTTTGCATAAATCATCTCTTTTTTGAACGGTAATAGTTCTATTTATTATTTTAGTTAGACGTTCTCAGATATTATTTAAAATTATCCTTTTCTCAGCTTTATTATCTACCATAGCGGGTACTTCTTCCTCTTTTAGGATTCATAGCAGGAAGTTCATAGCAAAATATTTCATTGACACTTGTGTATTTTGGCCTTAATGTCTCAGTTTATTCTTTGCCACAAATTCTGTAATCTCCAAAACCTTGTTTTTTAGTTTTTGATTTCCTCTGATCAAACCAAACTATGTATGTGCAAAGTTTATTTTTGATACTCAGAGAAGGATATATTATAAATATAATGAAATTCATAATCTGTTTAATCACCATTGATCATTGGCATCATGAGAGCTAGTAGGTTGAAATGGCTAGGGCATATTGAATGTCAGAGGACAGAGAGGTAAAAACTGTATATACAACGGAGATTAATGGTCATAGACCATGAAGACGATGGAGAGATAATGTCCAGAAAGACCTGCAAACACTTGGTGTTACTAACTGGAAAGAGAAGGCCAACCTGAGAGAGATGACTGGAGGCGGGTCATATCTGCAGCAGTGAGCCTCAAGGGCTCAGAGTGCTGAAGAAAAAGAAGAAGAGAGAAGGATATTTGAGCTAAAACCATTCTTGTGACTTTCAGACGGTGACACTTGACTGCATTCAAGCTAATACAAAGAAATTATTCAGGAACTGTGACTTTAAAAACAAAGGAGGAGTAACAAAAGGGGGAAGAGGAACAACGTACACAAAACAGACAAGTTGACGTTTCAGCTAGAGCCTCTCTCTGCACGAACTACACAACTGCTACAAAATGTAAAATTATTTTTGCTCCTTTGTTTATTCCATTGAATTTTTCCGCATCAGCTTTTTCTCTTCCTACAATTGGGAACTGGTGGTTGGAGTACTTTGTCCTTTGTTACTGTGGCGTAGTTTATGCTGAGAAGGGCTCCGGCAGAAATGTTGATTTGTCTGTTTTGTGCACGTTGTTCCCCTTACCCCTTTTGTTGATCTTTTTAGTCACAGTTCTTGGTTTAATGACTTTCAGACAATCATATGTTCTACAAGTGAGTGCCAAACATGATCTCTTATTACAACTAACGAACAGAAGATCGTAACAACAGAGATGAGATGTCTTAGGAGAGCTGCCTGTGTGACAGGAAGAGATAAAATCAAGAATGAAGAAATTAGAAGACTAGAAATGAAGTCAGTCATTCAACTCATTAAAGAACAACAAATGAGATGGTTTAGCCACCTGATGAGAATGCCCTGGTACCAACTGTGACAGAGCCACACTGAAGAAATATAATGAACACAGCAAGAGGAAGACC